TGATTATGGCAACATATGCACAAATTATTTGATGTGATTGCTGCATGGATTATTATAAGAGCTGCAAGAACCCCCCAAAATGATTTATTAATTAAAAAAAATACAGCTTATGGGGAAAAAAATCTTTTAAAAAGTCACTTTTTAAAGTGTTAAAGAGTAAAGATAATGTATTTTCAATGCGTATGAAATCTGGACGACAAATAAAGATGACTGGAGAGGAATTTTAGCATTTGAATGATGGTATCCTGGAAGACTATTCAAAGTACTATGGACGGGCAGGACAAACAAACTTGTCTTGGCAAAAAGACAAAGAGCTGCTCCTTAGAGACTTCATCTCAAGTACTTTAGTCATTTTGTCAGGAGGAAAGCGGACATCATGCTTGGTCAAAGCTGAAGGTCGCCAGAGAAGAGGACAACGAACATAGTGTGAGAAAGGCACGTGTTGCCTTCTTCTGCCACCGTGTGTCTATGAGTCAGAACTGACCAGAGGGCACCTACCAACAAAAACAACCTGTTTCTGTAGGTGTCCACAGTACACCTTAAAATGGATTGATATGGGGGCCCCCAAACCCAAATCAAACCTATGGCCATTGAGCTGATGTCCGCGCGGATGGAACGAAATAATGGAGGCAGAGTGGGAAAGAAGGAAAGGAGAAAGCGAGGCGTGTCGGCCCCTGTATCTGTAAGCGCTAGTGTGGGAATGAAATCAAGTCCAACAGCAACGGCATGAAAAGTACCAAAGGCAGTTGCAGTTAGGGGACGGGGACTTCATCGGCAGAAACATCGTGTGTGCCCTGATGACTCTCCCTTGCAGCTAACTTACACAGTTTTGCGGCACTAATACCCAAATGATTCTCTGCCACATGCCTTACAAGAGAAATCTGGGTTATAATAGTTAAGAAAAACAGCTGGAATCGGATGAACAAGAGATTACTAAAATTTTTCAGAAAAATAAAAAAGCTGAATAATAATGAACAAAATCATACCTAAATATATCAATATAGACCTATCAATAAAGACATTATATCACATATATATAACATATAATCAGATATGTAATGTTATTAGATGGGGAATTTGCAAATACATTCTAATGAGGAAGGTTTTTTTCTTTTTAAATTTTCTGCTTAATGCAAGCTCTCATGTAGTTATATAGAAATTACTGGTCACAGTAGAGCCGATAATATATTTAAATAATGACAATGTAATTATGAATTACAACTAAAGAAGGACTCTGGACTCTGATACATTTCTATAATGAACAATTCCATTAACCTCTGGGCTTCAAATTCTTGAAAGATAACATGATAAAAATAAAATGAAATGGGAATCAAACTGGGCTATAAAGAATACATATAACCTGCATAGGTGTGTAGCACCTATTTTGTATAACTCTTGGAGTGAAATAGGTACTCAGACCTTTCCTAATTAAAACAAAGGTAATTTCTCATAAACGATCTGATTGGGTGATTAGAATGTATTCCTTATGTGTATTATCTCAAACTGAGGCTTAATAACAATTCAGGTAACATGTAAATGAACATGGACTGTATTCTATTTAATCCTTAACTTTCATGAAACTGACACTATTTTAGGTCTTGGACAAGTTACTTAAGAGCAAAAACAATAATAACTTTCATTCATGCTTCATTTGATTTTCCTCTGCATTGACCAAGATGAATTTTACAAATAAAACATATATATAGTAATAAATAGTATATTTAAAAATTGCATTTGCACTTTTATTTCAACTGTGTCCCTATGGTCTATGTGGCAATAATGAATCAACCCAGAACCCTAACACCTCATGGAAACAGATTTGCAATATACGAGGTCAAGAACTATGTGAAGTTCAAAGTCAGAGCTTTTGAAGGTATTTCTATGACCCCCCCCAAAAAAAAACCTTAAGAGATTTCACCTATTGTTGGTAGAGTTAGTTAATCCTCCAAGGCTCGAGTTCATTACCTCAGGCACTGGAGTAGATGAGAGGAAGAGGGTGTGTGTGTGTGTGTTTGTATGGACATGAGAATTTGGTGCCAGGCACATCTGGATATAAGTCCAAGTTCAGCTATTAACATGCTATTTATCAAGTTGGTTGGCTTATGCTTCCTTCCCTCTAAAATAGAAAAAGAATGTCTGGGCCAAAGAGTTTTTGCAAAAATTAAAAATGAGATAATGCACGCAACATTTTCAGGACAACACCCCTAAAATGAGGGCGTGTTCAAAAATGCTAATGCTTTATTTCATTATCATCATCATTTGAACTAGAAGGTTAGATCTGTCACCAGGTCCTACAAATTGACATGTAAATTTTTAAAATGTGAGTTTTTAAATTCTAAAATTATATCCAAATTGTACCACAGGTAGTGGTAAGAAAACATCAATCATATTACGCAATATTTTTAAAGGTCATACCATATCCCACTGTAGAAAGACCCAAGTGTTTCATTCTATTTTTCACAAGTTCAGCAAGCTCTTGTCTTTCTGACCTCCGGTAGAGGTTCAGCCGTTGCTGGGTTATTTTCTCAGCTGTTTTCCCAGTGTGCTTTGCACCTTTCCTGCTCAGTCTCCGGGCCCACTGCATGCTCTTCCTGCGCAGCAGCGGGTGGTCTGACTGGTCGCTGGAGGTTGAGTTGCGGTGGCTGCTGCGGTGGGGACCTTGGTCTCTGCTGTCTTTGGCGTCTTCCCACTCTTCTACAGTGATAGATATTTGAGACTTTAAAGAAGACGGATATGGATAATTAGACATTTTAGAGATAAGGCTACCTTGGAGTTGAAATAACATTCCTTTCCTAGCCTCATGGTATAATTATTGGCCCACTCATGAGACTTTCTACAGAAAGAACAAAGTCATAATCATTGATTCTGAAGATATTACTAAAAATAGTTCCAGACAGTGTTTTCAAATTTACATGTGAAATAGAGAAACTATCTTTGCATTCTCCAATACAGATTTTCAGGAATACATTTACATGTTTTGCATAAGAATTTTCTAGTAAGTGACACTGCTAGTATATGGTCATTTGAAACACACAAAATAAAACTAATTATAATTTCATTCATATAAAGTTCATGTAATAGGCTTTTATAAATCTATTATAAAATCATAAATAAAAGTTAATGAAAATTATTTTGTCTTTCGAATGATGAATATTTCCAATGATTTTGAAGTTATTTTGCTCTTTCTATAGAGGAAATTGAGATGAACTTTCATAAACGCAAAACTTGTTATTCCTTCATATAACCCACAAGAAAAAATGTCCCTTTTAAACTCATGCATTCATAATACATAATATACAATGCTGTTCTGGCTACAAATATGAAGGCCTATTTTGATAATGCTCTACGTGATAAAACGCTTAGATGTTATTGTTTCACAGATGTCTCATAGAGTCACCACTACTCTCCACAGAAGGGGAAGAACAGTGAGCTAATCCATAGTGTCTGCTGCGGCGGATTCTTTCAAGATTAAATCTGAATCAGAAAGTAATAAGCTCTCCTTTGACTTTTGGTCGTTCAAAAGTAAAAAACGTCCAGTTTTCAATTTTTTTCCTTTTCATTCCAGGAAGTCACATAAAATGTACTACTGATCAAAGCAGAACGACTTACTTGCTAACATGCACATGCAAATGAAGCACTTCCTGAGTCCCAGGGGCCACAAGTGCACCACCCATGAGTCAGCTGTGTTTCCCCTCAATGGATGCAAGTGTGAATTCCAATTAAACATGCATGTATTTCTGACTTTCAAAGTAAGAGAATTTAAATTACCAATTTAAGTAAGGTCAGGAAGTAGATCCAATAAAATCCTTAAAAGTGAATATAAATTATTGAGGCTCAGTCAGTCCCTTACATATATAATTTCCGGTGGCTAGCTATAAAATTATGTTCAATTTAAATTCACGTATTCATGCACATCTCAGGTTTAAAATTATACTGGATCTGAGTGACACAAAAAATATTTAACCTTCATGTCTTCATGATAAGAGAACAATTGATGAAAAACTTTACAGTTCAAATATTAGCTATCAGACTTGAAATTAAAGGCATCATGGATGATTTAATAATGTGACTTTGTAACAATGGAGTACCTCTATAATTCTTAACTTATTCAAGTCTCACCTTGCTTGGTAATGTACTAAAATCCTCTTTATAGAACTAAAATACATACACTCTTGAGTGATATCTTGCTCAGCGGTTTATATGTGAATTGTAGCAAAAAATATAAATATATAAAATATTCATATTTTAGGTAATTAATTGTGGTTTTATTCATCACAATCTTAAAACAATTTGAAGTAAACATTATATCTGTCATTCTAGACATAAGTCCCTGGGCGTAGTAGTCTAACTTTCTTCAAATACATTGAAATAGTCATCTTGCTAGGCGAAATGCTCATGACATAGTTTATACAAAGTCCCTCATAAGTCAATCATGGACACATAAGCTAATACGTGGGATAGGAGAATGTTGTTTCTCTCCCATGCAAAATAATGATTGTCTGAAGACTATTTTTTTAAACAAATCTTTATGACATACTATATCAAACATATCTAAGACAGAATGAAACCTGTATATGTTGGCTAAACAATATTGAATGGCCTATTCATCGGTGCATCAACTTCCTGGAGGAAAGAAATATCATTTATCCAAAAAACCATAAAAATCAGAAGCATTTAAAAATAATTCCATAGAACAAGTAACATTCATTTGCAAATGTCATGGAAACTGGAAAAAAAATGAGAAAGAATGGAGATTCATTTTCAGTTTTCAAACACACATAGATTGCTGTTTCCATGTTTGAAATGGGCAAGCTTTCCTCCTAACTTTCCAACATCGTGAAATCAAAGCATGCTGAACTTCTGTGCATTGATACACAGATATAAACGCAATTTATGCAGTTTCCTACCGGGGACTTCAAAATCAAACTGCATAACCTTTATGTAAAATCGTGATCATATTATCAGTCATTTACCCCATAGATAATTAGTATTCACATAAGACATTTGTCAACTGTACACTTCCACAAATAATAAATATACTTCCAGATATCCTATTTAGTGCTGTTATGCACAAGGTCAGCAACATTAGTGATAAACATTAGTTAACCCACACCCCAACGCTGTATGCAGGTGTGCAGCGGTGGACTTGAGCATTTTACTAGAAGGTTGATTTATAAATATACTTTCTGGATTTCACCTCGTGTTCTGGTTGTAGCTCCTATGTGTTTTCAACACAGTGTCATGGTATGTATAATGGAAATAGTGAACTGCCAGGACACAGCGTGCCTTGGGAGTACAACCTTTCCTGAACTTGACAGCAGCATGGAGAACTCTTAAAACAACAAGCTCCGGCATCAGATGAATCCATTTAAACCATCAGTTTCACCATAGACCTGCTCTGGATTCTTGAGTATGTAATTTAACCTCCCTAAAATTACTACCAGAAACCCTGGTAGAATAGTGTGTTATGAATTGGGCTGCCTACCACAAGGTCAGCAGTACAAAACCTCCAACTGCTCCATGGGAGAAAGATGAGGCTTTCTAGCCTCATAAATAGTTGCCGTCTCAGTTTGGGACACACTAGGAGTTGGAATTGACTCAATGGAAGTGAGTTTGGATTCTTGCTTTTGGAAAATCACTCCCATTTCATGATCTGAAAAAAATGGCTATTGTAGTATTATTTTGCCAGCAAATATTTTTTTCTGAGGTTTAAAGAGAAACGTACATGAAAAGTACATAATTTAGTGCCTGTCTCAACAAATGCTCAATAAATATGACTTAATATTATGGCTGTGTGACCTTGAATAAAAAGGCAGTAAATGGAGAAAAGAAAAAGAAATCATTATGAGAGGCATGTGAAGGACAAATATGGCATGAAAATCAGCAATTGTTCACAATAATTTTGGTTCAGTTTTCTTTGTCAGTGTCTGTATTTCATAAAGAACAGAGGGCTATAAACAAATCCCGAGGGGAAAAGATTCCTTCTCCAGGTGAATCTGAACAAGGGGAGAAATATCTAAACTGAAAGTAGAAGTTTATCACTCAGTGGATTTTTGAGACATTTTTGTGAATAAACAGAGGACACTGTTTAAACTTTTGGTATTTTATTCTCAAAAGCCCAATATAATCACTAACTTTAAAATGATTTAAAAAATTGGGGGGGAGAATAAATAAAAGTCCAGGAAGATTTCCCATCAAATGCCTTATGGGAACATATTTATATAGTTCAGTGTGAAAATTTTTAAAAATTCATATAATTACTTAAATTTTTAAAATAAAAATGTAATATATTATTTTCTAAAACAAATTGTTTTCTAATTATCACAATGAAGATGATTGGAATCAAGCTAACATAAACTGTTTAAAAACATAAGGAAGTATTTATAATGTCTAAAATAGCTCAAATAACTTCATTGTTTTCAGAGAGGTCAAACAAGTCAGATTTACAAAGTATATCAAACACTCTTTTCGCATTCCATACATATTTTTTGAAAGCATGCACATCAACACTCGCAAATTACTCAATTCAACTTGCTTTCTTTTTTTTTATTGAACAGTTATTCATGTCAAACATTATTGAGTAATTTGTGAAACCGAGGGGTATCTAAATCTGTTCACTCAGTTTGAAAATGAGTGTTTGTAATCTGAATTCATAGCTCCCTTAAGAATAGTTTTATGAGTTCTGTGATAGACTTAGAACTAAGCTACACTATTTATGATTAAGACATTCAGCAACATTGCTAACAAAGAAATCCGAAGCAAGTAGAATCACAGATGTGTTAATTAGCTAATTCCTATCTAATAGTTTACATTAAAGAAACTTGACCTATTAAGAATATATGAAAGGTAATCTAAATGCAGATTTATACATACCATGTTTAGAAACCCTAGGTTAAGTAAAAACAAACAAACAACCAAAAAACTCCAAGACTAGGTAAATATATTTCATCAATTTCCATAAAAAATGAATTTAATGTGCTCAGACAACAGCTATCTAAGCAGAGATAAAAACATCATGTTTCATGATTTTGATATGTATCGTGACATAGTTTCAGATAAAAGGAAGTAAGTAGGGAATAACTAATCCTATAAATTAATATAATGCTAAATTTGAAATCACCTTACAAGGCTATATTTCCGACTACATGAGGATTATTTTTCAAAAACTGGAGGAATAAACTGAACTTCTTATGATAATGATAATTATACTTTCAGTTATATATATTAACTTTATATATAAACACATGTAACATATTTTCACTATATACAAAAATCATTATATGTAACATCTAATATACAGCACACAATAAAATATATTCTATAACATACATAATAAATAAAATATATAAAATATTACACATAATGCAATGTTTTATATATAGTGAGTATATACTATATATAAAAA